ACGAGGCCGGAGAGCGGGCCTGGAGCTAGCTGTGCCTGCTCCGAGCGGTGGGGACCCCAAATCCTGCGGTGCGAAGTAGACTTAGGCGCTGGCGGTTAGCCCAAGGAAGCTTGGTCGGTCCTATGGGGCTCGGGGCCGGCCCCGTGCGTCCTAGGCCTTGCCTGCCACCTGCGGGGGCAAGGACGGTCCCACCCTCACCCTTCTCGCACCTCCGGCGGAGCTGTCAGCCAGTCCCCCTTCAAGGCCCTCACATCTCCTGCGCACCTGCTGGGTGTCTGGCCCAGGACTGCTCCTCACATCCCCTCAGGGCTCAGGAACAAGTGATCAACAGATCATTTCAGAGAGTACCCATCTGAGTGCAATGAAAGTTGAAGAGGGCCACGTGATGGTGACCCCTCCAGGATGGTGGTGGCAGGGCTCCTGAGGACATGGCCCTCGAGCTGAGACTCCAAGGGTGAGATGGTGACGTGGTTCAGGAACCGGTTTGCAAAGGTTCTAAGGTCTTAAGGAGCCTGGCAAGTTCCCTCTGGAGTAGACTGGAAGCTGGATGGTGGCTGCTTTGTAGGGACCAGGTTGGGGGAGAGGGTGGAGGAGGTGTGATGTGGCAGGTAGGTGTGGAGGGCTGTCTGGGCCACTGGAGATGCTAGTCCTCCCAGCAGGGTCCGGGAGGATGACAAAAGCTAATAGCGTCTATCCTGAAGTCTCCTGGGAGCAGAGCCAGTGGAGGGACCAGGTGTGGCAAGAACAAAGTAGGGTCTTTGGTCAGGAAAAGAGCCTCAGGGCTGGGAGGGAGGCTCCCTGAGAGAATGTCTTCACAGAAATGAAGCCAGCTGCTGTTTCGTGTTTGCAGCGTTATGACTGAAAGCAGGACCTAGTGAAGAAAGGGGCGGCAGGAGGAGGAGCCAGGCTGGCTGGACCCTGGCTGGTTTGAGGGCAGGTGCTATTCTTGCTGTGTGTGGGACACTGGCTTGGGTGAAGGCACCTCTCTGGTGTGACAGGGACTGAAGACTCAGTCTTGTCCCTGTGCTGACATGAATCGGAGGAGGAGGCTTGGCGTGGGCAGGATGGGATGCGTGAAGACATTTTGAGTGACTAAAAAAAGAGTTGTCCTGGTCTTCCAGCTTAGCCTCCACCCCGTGTGCACAGGCGCAGGCTGGCGTGGACCCCAATGTGGATGTCCTTACTGGCAGATAGGGTTTCATCTCATGCCCCTCAGAAGGCGTCAGGGAGTCAAGCAGAGAGCAAGCTGTGCCTTCAAAGGGGAGAAGTCTGCCTGCCTTGGAAGAATCTCAGTGAAGAGCAGTTTCTTAGAGGGATATGAAATACTGCTGTGGAAGGCCTGCCTCCTGAACACCTGTGGACGGCTTGCCTCTCTACCTCTGTCACCCCTCCCTGTGCCAGGTGTCTCTCTCCTCCATGGCTGATGGCACCTACCTCCTCACTGGTCTAACCCTGCTGCCCTCCACCTGTTCTCCCCATGGTGCAGAGGGATTGCTTTTTAGTGCAAATATGGTCCCCATCCACCCAGGGCTCTTCACTGCAGCCTACGAAGCCCTGAGACTCCAGGACTGCCAGCCCACAGCCTTACCCCTTATTCTTGGAGCTTCTGCTACATTGGCCTTTCTCCAGGGCCAGGAGGGTACTAAGTCCCTCACCTAGAGCAGCAACTCACCTGGAGCATATCTCACCTGGAGCATCCCTCACCTGGAGTATCACCTCACCTGGAGTACTCCTCACCCAGAGCCTCACCTCACTTGGTGCACCCCTAACCTGGAGCACCTTTCACCTGGAGCATCCCTCCCCTATCTTGATGCCTGGGCACAAAGGAATGTCCCCAGTCCAGGCTGCTGGGGGATTCCAGCTCTGGAGTTAAGGGGGTTGAAGACCAAAGGCTGTGGGCACATCCTGCCCTGAGACCTTGGGGCTCAGAGAGAGAGAGCCACTGTCACATCAGGGAATGGGGATGCCTACAATGGGATCACCCCTTGTGGCTCTCAAGGCCTGGGGCAGTGGCTCTGAAACACCTTGAGGCTCCTCACAGGAGGTCATCAGGCTTTTCCTTGGGGGGCTCTGGAGTGGTATGTGTGCCCTGAAGCCATCTGCCTAGACCAAATACTCCCTCCCTGAGTGGGGCCTGAGGCAAGTACTTCCCCTCCTGGGAAATGGGTCTGGGGTCCCAGAGGTTACCCTGAAGGTCCTAGCAGAGCATAGGCAGTGAGTGCCTCATGCCCGATAGTGATTAAGCTGGCTCTGAAGCCTCCTGCTATGGAGCTATGAGATGGACACTGTGCCCCTCACTACCTCAGGTCTCACCCAGAGGCAGGGGTCCTTGTAGGACGGGTAGGCCATGGATGTGTTTGGTTGTCCTTGACACTCTATAGCCAGAATGGAAACCCACAGGAATGAGAACCTCTCAGCCTGGAGTGGCCATGGTGGCCATGGGTGGACAACCGCAGGTGGTGGGTCTCTCTGCTGCCTTCTAGTTTCTACTCCCTGCCTTCTCTACTCCTGGGACCCAGGCCCCACCTATCAGAAGCGGGGAGGGGGCGGGGCAGTAACCAGGGCTGAGGATGACTCAGGGCCTAGCTGTCTCCAAGGCAACCCTGTCGCCTAGCAATGGCAGTCTCCTGGTAACTGTCGTTTCCTAGCAATGGGATATTTTCCCAGTCCTGGCTGGAATCTGGCAGTTATTTTTAGCTCAGCTGCAAATCAGTCGCAATTGCATTTTTGGCTCCTGGAGAAGATGCAAGGTGTGTGTGTGTGTATTTCTTGTCAAAGGAAGGAAAATATTCCAGCTACAGGAAACTTGCCTCATGTCCCAAGGTGCAGGCTCATCATAGATGGCAAGGCCAGGTTCTGTCTGAGGTGGGGATGGGGAAGTGGGGTGCAGGTGAAGGGGAGCCAGAGGTTTCACAGGCTGCTTGGAAGAGTTAGCAGATATGACCATATCCCTGATGGGGTCTCTGGGAGGGCTGGTCAGTTCAGCACCCTGTGGGGCTCCCTAGTTCAGGCTGGGCAGCGGTGATCTGGGCCCGAGTTCATGGCACCATCAGAGCACATCACTGAGTGGCTCAGGTTCTGGCAGGCTCCTGGTACCCCCTGGCCCTCAGCTGTGGAAACTGTTCCTGCTGTCCCCAGGAGTGCAGGTGGTTCTGGCTGCAGGGGTCTGGGTGGCCATACGTTCAGCTGGTGACATGGGTAGGGCTGGCCTCTGCTAGGCCAACATCTCTCCCTCTTCCCTGCTTTTGCAGAAGTGGGAGCCCAGGTGGGAGGTCTTGGGCAAGTGGAAAGCTTGACCCCTCTCCCTGGGCTTCCTCACCATTTCCACAGGGCTCTGTTCACTGTCCCCAAACTCTCCCCTGGCTGATGGGCTTGGGGCTGGCCCTGCCTGCCTCCCACTGGCCACCTTCCTGGTTCCTAGTTTGCTTTGAGCTCTATCCTGGCCTTGGGACCCTTGCCCTCTGTTCCCTGGACTTGGGATCCTCTTCTCTGGCTTTCGTATTGCTCACCCAAGCCCCCAACCAGACCAGACCCTGCCTTGCTCCTTGCCTGTGTTCCTAGCACTGCAGGCTTCTTGGCAGTGCCCTTCACCCTGTGGGGTTGCCTCCCCTGCTGGAGGTCAGTGCCATCTTTTCCAGGCACTGTTCGGGGCAGGGCTCACCTCAGACACTGCTCCTTGTCCCAGCATCAGCTCCAGCCTGTTACCAAGACCTAGGTTTTACTTGGGAATGGAGAAAGACCGTTTTTGGAGATTCAGGGCTGGGTGATGCAAAGGAGGCCCCAAACTGAGCATAGATATCAGGGGATTTGCCTGAGGTTTGGGATATCATTCATCCATTCACTCACTCTTTCACTCATTGGTGCGCACACTCCTTCTCCAGGTGTTTATTGAGCACCTGCGGTGAGTTTGGTCCTGCACGCACAGGCAATCAAGGCCAGACATGCCTCTGGGTTCCCAGTCCCATGGGAAGCAGATCTCCCATGGCGAACAACACCCAAATGCTTTCCCAGGTGGGGCCAGGAGCTGTGAGACGGGTGGCTCCTGTCCAGGTCTTCTGTGGGTTACATCATCACCTGGCCCTCCAAAGAAGAGACTGGGGCAGGAGCAGGGGCAGGGGAAGCCTGGTGAAGATAAGGCTCAGGGCTAGGTGTGTACCCCTTCTGGACTAGGTTGCCTGTCAGGAACCCCTCCCTGGAACCCACAGATACCGACCCATTGTCTGGGAGGAGGGTTGGGCTGGGGAGTCAGGGGCCCTAGGCTGGCCGGGGTGGGCCTGAGCCTGTTTCTTCATACTGCCACCAGAGGGCACCTCTAGCACACTCTCTGCCTCAGAGGCCTGGGCAGGACTGGCCAATGCCTTAGGGACCAGCCCTAAGTGGACCCATGGCCCTGGCAAGGGCAGCCGTAGAAGCTGACTTGGTGCCCTCTCCCTTCCTTCTACAGTACCTCTTCTGCCTTATAGTGCCCAGCCCCATGCCCTGACTACCCCTTTTTATTTTTAATTATGTAAAATACACATAACATAAAACTTAACCATCTTAACCATTTTTAGGTGTACAGTTCAGTTGTGTTTAAGTACATTCATATTTGTAATGGAGCCATCACCACCATCCATCTCCAGGATGTTTCATCTTCCCAAACTAAAACTCTGTCCCTGTTAGGCACTAACTCCCCACCCCCTTTCTCTAAGCCCTGGCTCCCACCATTCTACTTTGTTTCTATGAATTAGGAACTTCCCAGATGCGGAACCATACAGTATTTGTCCTTTTGTGACTGCTTTATTTCACTGAGCATAATGTCCTCAAGGCCTCTCTGAGCTGATGGGGGGGGGCGGGGGTCCCGGCTTTTGAGAGCCCTGTCCACTTGGCCCCCACATCAGGGCCGTTGCCCAGGCCTGGAATCTCTCAAGTCCCAACTGGCCAGCAACTCCCCCAGACCCTCCCCTTAGGGGAAATCCTGGCTGTGGGAAATCTCTGTGCCTCAGGCCCCCACTCAGCTCATTTCATTTTGAAGAGTGGGCCTCATTTCAGGGTCCCATGTCAGGACCTCCTGGGGCCTGATTCTGTGGCTCAGGATTACTTCTTGGCTCCTGCAATAGGTGCCCGCAGTCCAAGCACCAGGCTGCACCTCTCTTGGGTATTTGCAGCCTCCTGAGGTTGGTTGGGCCAGGTTGGGTCCGGATGGGGGCTTAGAGCCCAGGTCTCAATCTTGGAAAGGGCTGCCGGTGATGAGCCTCGCCCTCCTCCGGTTCCAGTGGGCACCAAACCCACCCCCACCCTGGCCAAGGGCTCAGAAGAGAGCAGGCCAACCCCGACGGCGTGAACAAAGCCCGGGGGCGGGGGAACCTCGAGGGGGCGACACAGAGCTCGCAGAGCTAGGAGCCCACTCCCCCTGTGCCGCAGGCAGCGGGATTGTTCTCTCGTCCCCGTGAGTGTGTTGTGATTGGCGGAAAGTTCCAGGACCGCGCGGAGACCGGCCGCCTGCCTCCCGCAACTCGGGCCCCCGCAGGGCCCTGGCGGCAAAGCGCGTAGGGCTGTGTGTA